ATGCAGTGCATAATGCATAATATGCTGTATGCCCAGGCTGTGCGTGCTTTGTTTTTGGCTTTTGTGGAAGATCAATCTCTATTAGGAAATCTATTATCATCACTTATGTTTTACTACAATGAAATAAATAGGCAGCTGCAGTTGTTTGGCGTAATAGCTCTTAGTTTGATTGCTGGAAGTAGGAAATCAATGCAGGGTGAAGGGAAGAAACATTTTTAATAACTTACACTTCAGATATGAGATCCCCAAGTTATTACAAATTATAAGGTTAAGACCTCTTGAAAGAATCCTAGCTAGTTAAATATTTAAAACTCCTGGGTGAGAACACATGCACTAATGAGCTTCAGGCTACTAAATACCAGAATCTAGGGGGAGACATCTTGTTTTATATTAGAAAGTATTAGTGAATATAAACTGGCCATAAGAAGTGTTTAATTAAGAATTATATTGATAAGGGGAAAGCAGAAAAAGAAACAGATTGCCAGATCTACCGTTCATCACCGTTAAAAGCTGGATCTGTGTGTATGGGAGGAGGAATAAATGTAAGCAGCACCAGAGCAAACCAAGGGCTGCGTGGCGTGGTCCCCTGCCTCCCCCGGTGGCCCTCTCCCAGCCTGGGAGGGAGATGCCAGAAATCTCAGAACCAACACGGATGGAGCTTCCTACTTACTTATGTTTCCTTTTAACCCATCAGGAAGCAAGTTGCCTTAGGCTTTTGATCGTGAGCAACAGTAGCATTTTAGATTTTGTGATTTCAGCAATTCTGCTAATTGAATGATAGCTGTTCTTAGATGAAACCTATAATGCAAACGTCAGGCTGAAACATGCACAATTCTCCCACAAAAAAGAAAAGGAATTCCAAAATTCTTCCAAAAAAGAAAAGGAAGGATCTCATAAATCATTGAATCGCTTCCCTCGTGGCCTTTTAATTCAGAAATTTAAGAACAAAAGAAACCTGTTAATTGTATCTGGACATGTTACGTTGGCTATCTTAACAAGAATTGAAATGTTGAAATTCAAATGCCAAGAAGCAAAGAAGGGAGTTGAGATTGACAGCAAAAACTGTCTTGACACGATTAAGCACCAGGTAATATTGGGTCTTGTCACAGCACTATTGTAGGAGAATGTTTGGTGCATTGTGTGTGCACATATGTATGTTATGTAAAGTAGCCTCAGCCTGTCTCCTTTCTGAAGCCAGGGAGTGTGAGCAGGTAAACAGCTCATAGCAACAGATGAAAGGCTGCTGAAGTTCAGACTCCCAGTTCAAAGGTTTCAGCAGTATGTGAAATGACAATCTCGGGTTATTTGTGTTTCCAAGCTCCCGTGCATTTGAATTGTTTGCTCATCCACGGAGGCTCCCCATTATCTTATTCCTGGTTGTGTTCATCAGCTGAGCTAGCTGGCTGGCTGCAGCCGTATTTCATAAGGCAACATTAGGAAAATTTATTTCCTCTGCCTCGTCATGGCCTGCCTCTGCCCAGGAGAAGACCAGAAATGTTTTGTTTTAATTGATGTTTCTAAATTACAGTGCCAGAAAGTGTGCGTCCTGCTCGCTCTGTGCGAGTCTCCCGCTGCCTGGGCAGTGTGGGTCCTCGGTTCCATTTTTAAATCAAATTATGCTTGTGATAATATTGTCTTGAGCTTAAAGTTGCTGACATGGATATTGACAAAGGCTTAGCCAGTATTTTAATAAGAAAACAAAATACGGGAAATACTCTAGAGTTTCCAGGTGGATCATTAACAAGACGCCTTGGAGGGCTGAGACTGCCAGCCAGCACAGGGAATGCATCACAGTTCGTCATACAACTTAAACTTCTTTTGACATCTAGTTATGTCGAAATGTGACTGATCACCTAGGGGTCCAGGCTCCTGTGAGAGAAAAGTTCACTGACAGACAGCGAACGAAGCTGATCTTAAATGAGAATCAAGAGAAAGCAGCATTCCAGTGTCTGACAGTCTGCAGCTGCTACCTGGGTCTGCCTAACGAAGACGAGCCTGCTCTGCTGAACAGTTATATTAGCATCTGTATGCTTCTGTCTCATTATCACACATCTGCCCACCTTTATTCGAATGAAGCTTCTTCTGATCTGACAGCTCAGGCATTGTCAGTGAATAGATATTATGGGATCCGGGTACAGCAGCTTAGGGTGTTAGCTTTTATTTTCTAAAGACTGTTGTACGGTTTGACAGTATAATGCCGCGGAGGTAAAGGAGATAATTAACATATTGGGCAGTTTCTAAACAAAGCTGAGACAGTTATACCGGCAAAAGTGCTGCTGCTGGAGCAGTATTGTGTGCACTCCAGGAACATCAAAGCCTGGTGAGATCCGCCTTGGGAAAAGAGGAGGGGATCAGGTATGCCCCGGTTCCCCCCGCCGGTGAAAAGTTTTGGGGGGTTCGGCCCACGCCTGATAACTGCCAAACCTCTGAGGGGACTGTCGCCTCTGTTCGGAGTCTCAGCTTGTTCTGGCAAAACAGCTCCCAGCTTGTCTGAGAAGATGTGAACAGGGCTGTGCGGGGAGGAGGAGGCTGTGGGGTTTGTTTCTTCTTTCTTGAATTTATTTTTACCCCACAGCACAAAGCTAAGCACTCGTGTGAGCTTCACAGAGTGCCTGTTTGGATGGAGATTTGAGCCTTTCGAGTTGGAGATCACATGTGGGATTTTCTGGAAATGCCAAAAAACATATGACAGAGGTTTCATCCTTTGGCTGCTCAGGAAGAAAGTAGAAAAGCTATCCTGAAAGCAAACAAACAAACAGGGAAATAGCATTTTGAGCCCCCAATGTAGAAGAACTGAGCTTTGAAGGCTGAAGAAGTGGACGTTCATACTCTGCAGCTCTGAGAAAAGAAGTACGGCACCCCAGTGTGTTACTGCACGATTTGCCTTTGGTTTCCTCCAGGTGAAAACTGTCCATGTGTTGGACAGTGGTGGACTTGAATGGTACCTTGGTCCAGTGCTTCATGAATGTTCTAGCTATGAAGCACTTCAGCAAATAATGCCTTTGTAAGTTACCTCGCTGCTTTACATCCGCCAGGAAGAATCGTGAATGGGATGCACTGCAGCAAGAGCATCCCAGGAAACGCCCGCTGGACCCTGGTTTGTGTTTTAACTGGCCCACACGGTAACCTAGGTGCCCCTGCCCACGAGCAATGTGGTAGCCAAAGCCCAAATCCTCATCTGGCTTGACCGAGCCCCTCGTTGGTAGCCAACACACCCTTTGCTGTTCTGTGGCAGTGTGCAGATTTACCCTGCCGAGAAATTAGCCCAAAATTTCTAAGCTGAAGACTTCCCTCGTTTCATTCATGGCTTTCATTTCATTGCTTTTTTTTTTTTCTTTGTTCTTGAGCGAGCACAGGGTTTCCACGAGCTAATGTCGGAATTACTGCTATTTTGCAACAACGCAATCAAAGTCATTTCAGCATCCGTGCTGATAACGTGCCAATAGCTTATTCACTGCCCCGGCAGCCCCGCGCTCCCAATTGCGAAGTTTGAATACAAAATAAGATATTCATTTAAAAAAAAAAAAAAAGATAGAATCCGTTGTCATTCATTCTAAAAAGGCATTACAGACTGCCGACACCGTACGGAAAAATAGGAGATGTTGACCTTTTTATTATAGACTTTTCTGTACTGTTGCCCTCCTTTCAGACGCGCGCCCCCTCCGCAGCCTCGCACACGCGCGCGCGCACACGCGCTCTTCAGCTGTATGTTATCTCAAATAATTACCCTGTGCTTCTGGCTGTCCCCAGTGACTTCTGCTGCTAAAAAAGCTACTCATTGTCGGTGAGTGAAGAGGGATTTCAAACCTGCTTCTTGTGGCCCAGCAACAGCTCTTAATTAACCACTCAGGTATTGAGCCGCCTCCTCGCCCGGCTCCCATCCATATGGCAGGAACATGTCCGCAGCGATAATCACTGAAGGAAATATCGTATCAAAAAAAAGGGCTCGCCGAACAGAAAGCTTGCGCAAATTATTTTTAATGATTCTCCTCTAGCGAGCCGGATTATTTGTTATTTCAAGCGGGGCCAGGGCAGGGGGCTGGGGAGGGGGAATGTGCCTGTCCTTGACCCTCTCGCCCGGCCGGAGCCTGCACCTCGGCACGGCACAAAGCCGGCGCCTGGGGTACGGGGAGGCCCTTCAGGCAGCGGGGAGGCTTCAGCTCCCTCTGATTTTGAGAAGCCTTTGTTTCTGGTGGGCGACGCGCTTTTTCATGGATGTGCACGCTTCCTGCCAGCGAGGTACCATAAAAAAAAAAAAAAACAACTTGCAGTCTTGACACAGACCCACCCTTTTTTCCTTTCCCCGCGGTTTATAGAAAGGAAAATAGCGATTTGAGTTTATAAATGTAATTAAAAATGAAGTTGCGTTTACGTTTTAAAACCTTGCGTATAGCAGCACACTGTGTCAAAAGATATTATGTATGATTTTACTTTGTGACAGAAACCATTACATTTAAAAATTCATTACAGCAAGGTTAGTTAGACACATGATGGATGCAGCTTTAATCCTGCCATATATTATTACAGTTAAAATGTAAATGATGAAAAATATTTTGTGCTTATCAGCGTTTATGTGGAAATGTGTTCTACAGTGATATATGGTGTTATATTTCTATTATTATGATGAGAAAGAATGAAATACAAAAAGACGAAGCATTTATTAAAACATGGTTACTTGTGATAAAATATTCTTGTTGTACATGACTTTAAACATATTTACCGAGGGCATTTGTCCAAAACAACTGTGAAATGTGTTTGCTATGCAAATCATTCTTTGTAATTTTTTTCTGCTCTCTGTTATACTGACTGTAGCTTTTTAATAGCCTAATGTTAAACCCATGTAAATATATTTTTATTATTTTCCATTTCAGGCACGAGGGACTGGCTGTTTACACACATGCATGTATTTGGGTAGAAGGAAGGATACACAGAAAGACAGATAAAACAGGAGACTGATCCTAACAAAAAGCCTTTTTCCTTTATGCCCTCTCTTGTTTCAGCTTCTTGAAGCCCAGCGTGGAGCAGAGGAGCCGAGCCCCTCGCCTCTCACCCAGCACAGCCTTTCAGCACATGCCAGTCCTCGAGCCTACGTGTGGTCCTGTTGGCACCTTGCACACCTGAACCTTTCAGTCTCACCATGCAACTGGAAGGAGATCTCCACTCAGACTCCTTTTACAACCTCCTCTGTCACGTTTGGGTGGTGCATCACTGTTTGGGACGTGGCCCTGGCAGGGAGCTCAGTGCTTTTCCTTTCCCCACGGAAGGTCAGTTTTTAATGGTCCTTGCACTTCAGATGAGTCCAGCCAAGAAAATGTGTGTGGCCTCTTCCTAATCTGAGGAGTAGGGAGTTTGGAGGTCAGGCTTATATGTTGCAAGTCCCCAGGCTAAATATGTTTTTTAAGAATTTGTACTTCAGTAGTGACCCTCCAAGAAGGGTTTCTGGCATCGAGGGCCCGGTCTCCGCAGGCAGAATCCAGCGTAATCCTGCCCAGAACAATACAAAGGCGCAGAGGCCATTAAGTGACTCGCCCAGCATCCCACAGGAAGGCTGTGGCAGAAAAGAAAATAAAAACTTGAAGGCCCTGAAACTTAGGAATTTGGCCGCTAGATATGCGTTCCCACGTGTGTTCTGGCTGCTGGGTTTTCAGTGTATTTCAGGTTTTTCCTCTCCTGTGTTATCCCAGTATTCAGTCAGCCTCAGCAGAAGGCATTGCCTTACACCCCAGCATTACCCTCCCTGACTTGCTCTTGCTTCCACAGCATTCCCACTATTTATCTTTGGGATGCACCTACTACGGGTTTCAACTGTTTGTATTATTACTTTTTATGCAGTTTATGTTTAAGAAAATAGTAGTTTCAGTAAACAAATACAGGTATGTTTGCCATATTATTACTGTTAATTCCTCCAGTTTACACTGTCATGTCTTCAAGAGAATTAATTTAAATTTGACATAATGCATTAATCAGGCTGAGATTGCTTCTAGTTATATGCAGTTGAGCCCATCTTTAGCAGCTCAATTACTGAAAAAAATCCCCTTAGTGGCTCAAAATATTTGTTTGTGATCAAGAGCATGCATGCCCTTCAGTCTGTAATGCCTTCCTTTTGATATGAACAGAAGCAGGAGACCTGGTGCTTGTAGTTCACCAAAGTGGCTATTTCCTTATAACCTTTCTCTTGTAACAATGTTTATTCAGTTATCAGGGAAGAAATATCATTTGTCCATGCAGCTACAATTACCCAATTTGTTGTATAAATTATTACTTTTTTTCTCATCTCGTGTTGATGACAGAATCATTTAATAGACTTTCAGTTGCTCAAGCTTGAAAATTGGTTCCACATTCTCCCTTTTTTAGTTTTCCTCCCTAGGGTGAAAGCAATGTGGTCTAAATACAATTTCCAGCCCCCCCTCCTTTTTTTTAAACATCTGCTTGTATGAGGATGTTGTTGTGTACGTTAGCGCTGTACAGTTTAGCACCCTTTAGGACTACCTTTGGCTCTCAGCTTCCTTGCTCCCTGGGCCAATCATAATATATCAGGAACCGTAGATATTTCCTATCTCAGCACTCTCCATAACTCTTTTGCTCAGCTGTCTGAAGCTGTTTTCTTTAGGAAGTCCAAAGCGAGGGGGCCTGGTTGACCTGGCATCAGTCCTATTTATAAGAATAAACCCTCTTCCCTGTACACCTTTGGAGCTTTGTCATGTAGGGGTCACATCCGTTTAAATTAATAGCTAGAGCGCCCGTGACGGAACATGGCCACGTAACCTTTATTGTCCCGTTCTACCCTTTTGTTTGAAGTTATAAAACCTACTCAGCTGATTTTCTTCAAAGCTGAGGTTACAGGATCTGCAACCGTGCCTCTGCCACATAATTAATTAGGAAGGAAAAAACAGCTATTGTCATGTATAGAATATTTTTGCAACGTGTTTATTTGTTTGTTTAAAACCAGCATTTGTTTTTAAATTTTTGCTCTCCCGCTGTCCTTGCTGAAATAAATGCCAGTCAGGCTTGTTTGCTTAGCATAGGAGTTCCTGTGTGGCGCTGGGAAGAAATGATGTATGGAGCAGCCATCTCATTTCCAGCCTGCGATCTCTGTGCTTGGCTTAGAAGTAATGCCACCGCTGCCTCCGTGGCGCTGGAGATGCCGGAGTTATGATCTTCCCACTCACGAGTCAACCTGGCTCCCTACGTAATGTATTTATTTATTTATTTTTAAGTCTAAGAATATTTGCTGAAAGCAGGATTATCGCTTTGTAGACCACCAGCAGCTGTTGAAAAGCAGGGCATAAAAGTTTGTTTATGTCTTTAATAACCCACTTAATGATGGAGCAAGCACATTATTCATAATAAAATAGCCTGGCATAATCTTGCTTCAGTGTGTGGTGTGAGGGAATTAAGAAACATCTGCTGTGCCATAAAATAACATTGTATATACCATGTACATTAAAAACATGTGTATACGCATATGTATATTATATACATATATTTTAAATGTCTCAGTAGAATTCTCATCTTTTTAATTACATTTAAAAGCAGTGAAATGGTTAAATGACGTTTTTTTACTTCTGAATCTGTTTTAGCTAAGGTTTGGGAAGATGGCTGGTTGTAAGGGCAAGGGACAGAACCTGGCATCAGAGTACAGCAGAAGACAAAGGCAAATTTTCAAACCTTGAAATTGGGGTTCATTTTCTATTTTTAGCCTTCAAATAAATGACCTAATTTTCTGAAGTACAAAGCATTCATGGGCTCTTGACTTGATGAGTGTTGGTTGCTCAGCAACTCTGAAAATCAGGCCAGTATCTCAGTGCCTAAATGCAGATTTTATTTACAACACCAGCATCTGAATTTGCGGCTTTTATTGATACCAATTATTTGCATTACTCCTGAGCTTAGTGGGAAACCCAGCCGTGCTTGTGCTGCACGCACGAGAGTGGCTGCCTCTACCCTGAAAAAGTTGGGGCCAAAAGAGACAAAATGTTGTTCATCCCCACCCCGCAGCCAGGACGCTGTAGGCAGCAGGGGGAACCCGCTTTGCCCTGGCAGGGGCTGAGCGGTGTGGCTCCCAACCAGCACGGCATGTAAACATGTCTTTAAATTTAGGCGTGTGAGATGGAAGTGGAACTACTTGCATCTTAAAATTAAATACATGTTTCACTAGATCAGGCCAGATGGTTTTACATGCTCAAAAGTGACATTTACAAGGTCACATAGGAAGTGTTTGACAGAGCCAGGAACTGAAACCAGATCTCCCAAGTGCCAACCCAGTGCCTTAATTTTGCTTGCATCCATTTTTCTTTTCTTTTTTTTTTTTTTTTTTTTTTTTCTGATGGCATGTTTCTCCTCAGTGCAACCAAGGAAAAAATGAATCCAGTAATGACACAATTAAGTTGTTGTTTTTATTTAGAGGGGCTGGGAACTCAAGTGCCACTGTTTGAAAGATTAGCACTTTCATCTTTTCAGCAAGGCATATATTTTTATAGACTTTTTTTAATTTTGCCTCTTCTATCTTACGAGAATGGAAGCAATCTGTTTTCATTTTGTAGGTGGCCCACCAAGTGAAAAAAAGTTATAAGTTAATAAAATTTCTATGCAGATTTATGTGAACTGGATGAACTTTCCCAGTATCTGAATGTTAATCTGTTGGAAAATAGCTGCTGTGGTACTGGAACAGCTCAACGTCATACAGCAGGGCACTCTCACAGCAGCGCTCTCATTGATGTTTTCCCCACAAATGCCAAAGTAAACATGAGAAACTACTGTGGGGAAAAAACAGTGAGCTACTGGAAAGGCAACTGTGATGTATTTAAGGCAGTTTCCTTAGATTCGCCTGAACCTCTGCTTGCACTAATGTGTATGTTTTCCTTGGTAGACCTCTCCTTGCAAATTATCTTGGATGCATTTGATGTAGCCCATCTTACTTTGCTGCCTCTGTTCTTGGCATACACTTATGCTCTTTGCAGGCTCCCACTCTGCCTCAGGTTTTAATGAGTCTTCGGCCTCCCTGTCCTGCTCCAACTCAAATCCAGAGTGTGAGAAGACTGCTGTAGGGGAAAGGCTGGATTTTTCCCTGTCAAAATTCTTTGGGCCAAGGTCTTACCTGGTGCATGAAGAGGGCGGAAGCAACAGCCTCACCTTCTCACAGGACTCTCTACCGTGCCAGCAAACTACTTCAAGGTAAAATATGAGCGTAGAGCCGGGGTAGGTTTTGCATAGTCACGTCTTGGCTAGCCAGCCTCCGCTTTTCACCAGCTATGCTGTTCTAAGGACTTCTGTGGGTAGAGTTTGTTCATCTGTGACCAGTTTACAAAAATAGTTTAAAAATGCTGTAATTGAAGTAAATATATATATTTTTAAATGTGCCCACTTGATGGCAACGATGAGGGTTTGGTGGGTGAGGACATAATCCCTGACAATGGACCAGCAACAAATATTAAGGAGGCACTGGTGGCTCAGGCTCCCTCAGCTGCGGGGTTCCTGAACACAGCTCAGCCCATGCTGCCTGTAGATGCTTTGGGATGGAGAGTTTTTAGCTAAAGCAATGGTATTTAATGCCCAGAGAAATGCATGCCTCTCCATCTTGCTGTGAGTCCCTACTGTGCTTGGCACAAGTAGGTCCTCACCTGGGTCCTGCTGAAGGTGCCCAATACAGCAGTGTCCATCACACAGGGCTTCTCAACTGTTAAGAAAATTATTTTTTTTCCTGGATTTTTTTTTAAATCTGATTCTGAGCTTAAACTTTTAACAGAGATTTTTGTCTTGATGCAGAGCTATTTCTTGATTACTTGCTATCAAACACAGAAATTGGAGCTTAGAATTTTTCCATGGAAAACATCCTCTAGCTTGTTTGGCTGCCTCTAGCTTGCTTGGCTGGCTCCCGCTGCAGTACCAACCCACTGGCTCAGTATGAACTTAAAGGATCCTTGCAAAATACTCTGTGCTAAGCAGCACAGCACAGGTCACTTCCAAGGTATGCTTAACATCAGGACAACGTGCGTCTTCCCATATCAGAAAAGTAGGAACAGGATCTGTTAAGATATGTATCACTGCTTTTATTTTTTAACCACTGTCTTTTTTAAAAAATTGAAATAAGATTGACTGTATGAGGATGAGAACAAATGTCCTCTCCAGAAAGGATATTTTTCTTTCTCAAGCAGGAGCAGACTCTTAGGAAAGAGACCACAGTAGGACAAATATGTACCACTACCCCCATAGCATAGCTTCCTAGCTTTCTCCCTTCAGCTCTCATTAGCTGAGCCAGAGCTGGCATCTTGCTTTGTTTTTTGTAGCCCTTGATAAATGTTTTCTTTTCATCCATTACCTCACGTTATCACTTTTTTAAGCCCATGGACATTTTTGTATCCACAACATTCTGGGGCACTGAGTCCCACAGTTTCTCTGTGTTGTGTGAACATGCATTAGGAGATTTTAAATTCTTGTTCTCAACAATTTTCTCACCATCTTATAAACCTTTATTGTACCCACTTTTCACCCTCTGCACTTTCCTCAGGCTGTAAAATCATCCAGTATTTAGATTACGATAAGGGATATGGGACTGGGACAAAGGTATCAGCATCTCCCCAGATTCCCCAAGTGGCTGCATAAATTCAGAGTAGGGCCACAGGGTGAGAGTGTCCTGTCTCTCCCCTTCTTTTGCAGGGGGTCTGCTCCCCCTGTGTGGTAGACTGGGTTGAAGAAACTTTAAATATTGGAGAGGGAAATTCTTAGGCATAAGATCAACATCTAACTCTGTCAGACGAGAGATGGAATTGCAAGCTTTAAGAGGAGTAATACACTTGTTTCTTATGTAGCCCTAGCTGGTTCCTTGGGGTTTGGGGGGTTTTCTAGGTTTGTGCATACTGGCACTTACTGGGAGAACTGGAAAGCAAGGACCTGCATAAACACCCATCACAACTTATTACAGAGGGTAAACAGCCAATGTTATTAGTAGATGAGCAGGAAAGGTAGATCAATATAAAGAAATACTGCTCTCATTCACTATTCCCTTTGTCACTGCCAGGCCTCAGAATTTTTCAGTTCATTGATGTCAGGAAGGATTTACTTGCCTGCACAAGAAGCTGGTGCCAGATTATTCCCAGGCTGCAGCAGATCCTGATCAGCATGTAAGCTGGCTTGGGCAGCTGCATAAGAAAATAAAATTTAAGATCGCAGCAACTTAAAATACTGCTGGAGTTCATAACGTCCACATTGGTATCAGGCAACTTGGCAACAAAAGTGGCCAAAACACATCCCCTTTTGCTGTAAGGCTTAGCGAATATATCAGGTTGGCTGGACAGAGGGCGTGTAATGTTTTCATCAGCTGAGTGAGCACCTAGCTCAAGCCAAGTCTGTGAAGGCTTCTGGAAACACTTTATTCACAGGGGGCAGCTCAGGGGTTAAACTATGTTTAGCATATTCACTTCCCTACTAACGTGACATTATTTCATGTGCAGAGCTGCTTCCTCTCGAACAGCACCAGGGGCTTATCCTTACGTACCCTAATGGTCTCATGCCTTCAGCAAGCTGTGGCTTACACCCTGCATACCTCCTCATCGCTGTTATCACCAACGGTTTCCTCAATGGAAATAATCATGCACATTACAGCAGTTGCCAAAACCCTCTGGCACCAGAAGCACTCTTGGAATGAGAGCCTGAAGGCATGCGAGGGCCTGAGCAGCTGTAGCTGCGGTGAGGTAGGTCAGCAAGCTGGGTCTGAGCAGTGCAACACAGGCAAAGATGCAAGAGCAGAGCTACACGCTGCTTGGGTGTTTAACAGCAAACAGGGGGTCTGAATCCTCCAGGGCCTCTGCCAGGTTCAGCCATGTTTCTAGACCTTCTGTTGGGGCCTGTTTACACACACGTGAGTGCTGGTGTCCAGGTATGCTGATCTGAGCCCTTGTTAGGAGCTACCCACAATTAAGGGCACAAGCAGAGATAGTTAAAAATACTTCGTTCTCATCAGTGATACGATATCACCTTTTCCTTGTAGAAAAAAGGTGCAGCACCTTGGTCTGAGTTGTAGACAAAGTCCAAGTGCAACAGCGCAGCACATCCACATGTCCTTTCACATACCTTGCACCCACACAGCACTCCCTGCCCTCACAAAGCCCGGCAGAAACGTTCCTAAAGGCCCTGGCAGGCAGAAGGAGCTCTTATTGCTGGGGCTGGGGCTCTTCTCAAGTGGGCACCCATGAACCTAATCCTCAGGATGGCAACGAGCTGCTCCCCCCTGGCTGTTCTGCAGGTCTGCCTTTCTGCCCCCAGCTGGGCCAGCGCTATCCTAGCACGAGCCCAGCTGCACGGTGTGAGAAGAGCAATTTCTGTTGTGTCTGTGGTTTCACAATGAAACCTGAATGTTTGCCTGTGTGACTTCACTGCTTGTGGTCTCACGTTCACATGCCCACACAAACAGTCCATCGTGCGGTCCCATCGCTGCGTTTGCCTGCCTTTGTGGACACTGCAAAGGTTTTGCATCAACTTGAATATTTCAATTTAAAAAATGTGAATTTTCACACATTTTAAATAGGACTGAAAATGTTCTGAGTACCTTCATACATTTAAACATATTTACTGAGTTAAAAACAAACAAACAAAAAAATGTATATCCATTACTTTCTGCAGTTAAGTCATGTAACTTGACTGCCTGACACAGTATCAGCAGCATGAGGTCCTTTACGGGTCACAGCTGAGCTGGATTTTACGCCTAAGAATTTCCCCATTTTGGACCAGAAGTAGGAAATTCTTCTTCTGGGCAACACCCATGAACGCAAGTCTGGAAAAAAAAGAATGTGAAACACAGATGGAGAGCCCCAAAAGAGCCTGATTGTCCCTTTAGATGAAACAGAAGGAAAGTAAAATCACACCCCCGTCCCCTTGGGCCTCCCATCCCTCCCCAAGAGCAGCGCAGAGCAGGGAGGCCCTTGGGGGCAGCCAGGGAGCTGTCAAGAAGCCCAGGCACGCACCAGCGGGCACCCAGACCCCTGCAGACAGGGCCACAGGACTCGTCCCCACGGGGCTTGGAGCAGAGCAGCCTTGCAGAAGACAGCCCAGCTCCAGGTCGGCACCCAAAAATGCCCCACAGCCTCCAAACCCCCCCGGTGTTCCCAGCGCAGCCGGGCGAGTTAATTGTCAGCGTGCCACCGCCTGCTCCCTGTGTGGTCCTGCGGAGGGAGGCATCCTGGTGGCTGCCAAGAATGAGGAAAACTGGTGTGTTTTTGTTTTGTTTCCTTTTAAATAAACTTGCAGTCCTTAATCTGGCAGGCTGGAGTCTGGACTCGACAGCCCAATGAGTAATGAGGTGCAAGGGAAGACAGGATGTAGAATTAGGAGGTCAGGGCTGAAGGTTGCCCCAAATTTAATCTTTTCCTCACCTCGCCTCCTTCTCCTCCATGTGCCATCACTCTGAGACACGCAAGGCAGGCGCATGCTCGCCAGAGGTGGCGAGGGTCCAGGGTGCAGTGTCCCACTGGTCCCAGCAGGGCCACGTGGCAGCCCTGCAGGTCTGGGCACAGGCTCTGCCCTGAGCACCCTGCAGCATCTCTGCTCATCCTGCGCTTTGGAGAGGTGTTACTGTATCCCAGTACTCATTTTAAATCAAGCCCCTTGCTCTCTTTTCACCCACCTCTTCCATCTCCCCACAATTTCATTTTTTTTTACTTACTTCTGCAGGAGCTTAACTCATTTCCATGATGGTGGTTTCATCCTGGCTCATTCCAGCCCCACCAGTGCCCATCTGCCAGGATTATTCATTCCTCCCTTCTGTAACTCTGTCGAGCAAGGCAGTTCTGCGTCCTTCGTGCTTTCTGTGAAACCATTTCCAGCAGGTCAGTATTTTGTATCAAAGGTATGTATTTAGCGAATAAGAGTGCTGTCATCCAGAAGCAATTTCTGAATGCTGTAATATAAGGCTCCTTGGTTTCCTGTCCCATAAAAAAAAACAGAGTTTGTCAAATATATATGTGTGTGTGTGTGTATTTATTTTTTGTTTGCTTCAGTTGCCTGAAGTAAAAGACTTCCACTTGTCTTCACCTGAAATGGAGCAGAAATTAGGAAACATTTTCCCTTAGGAGAACATCTTTTAATGTGGTCTAGATAAAAAATGTTTGAAACAGAAAAAGCTCTGCATTCTGCATACAGGTGTATTCATGCATATCTGCAGATATCTTTATGGGTTGATAGATATACATATTGAGTCATTTTGTAAGCAGCAATCTCCCTTAAAAAAAAAAAAAAGAAAAGTCAAAATACTCAAGTCAACACCTTCTTCTAATGTACAGACACTCACCCATCTCCATCCCCATGCCAGCCAAAGGCAGCTGGTCAGGCCGCTGCTTTTCTTGACTTGCAAACTGTATTTTTGTTGTTTTACATGTACTAGTCACTAGAAAAACATGACATTGAGCCCCACGTTTCTGTTTTATTTAAGGTTAATTTGTTACAAATTTGTTTTCCAATTTCTCTTTTGGTTCGATGCACACTGAGTAAAGCTAGTGAGCAAGTTTGGCACCACTGTGCCATGCTGTATTTGCACCGCCAGGGTGACCAGGGGATTACTGATGCACCAGAGATGGCCCCAAACCCAGGCTTAGCCTTTGGGCTGGTTTGCTGGTTTCCCTGCATTGTTGCCCCAAACCTGAGCTCTCACTTCTTACCTGCTGAGCCCTCGAGCTCCGGGCTCCAGAGCACCCAGTGCCACAACCCCACACTGACTTAATGTGGGCAAGTACTGAATGTGGCTGGAAGAAGCCCTTTAAGGAACAGGACGAGCCGCTGTTGGCACACGCAGAGCTTGTGAGCTGATGCCTTCAGCATGCCTGGCGCTGTGCTGGGCCTGGTGCCTCGCGCCCACCTCATGCTCGCTGCTGTCACTGCAGCCCAGTGGCTCTGCTGGGTGTCCCGGGGAGGGGCAGAGTCCCCAGCCCTCCCCTCCCAACCTGCCCGGGGTCTGCTTGTGCCAGCAGCTCATCACAGGACCTTCCACTGGTTTCCAGATAGAGCAGTTCA